AAATAGTAAAAAAAAAGAATGACTTAAGATGTTTGAATATTGAGACAGCTTACAAAGATATAATTGCGTGCATAAATTTGGGTTTGGTCAAAATTTGTAATACCATATCGATAGCAGACTCTTTTTTCAGAAGAAAATATTTCATATTATTTTATGGCTCTGTCTCACAAGGACTAGGAACTACCTAATTCACGAATTTGACCGGCTGAAATCAATATTGACCGCGGTCTAGATTTTCCCATATAGACCGGCATCTAAACCGGCAATGTTTTGCATGAAAAAGTTGCAAACTAAATCCAAATTGACTATTTTCTTCTAAAGATGTTTATTAATGAGAGTACCAAAAACCCTGATGAGAAAAAAAAGTAAAGAGGACGAGGAAACGTTTTCAGAATTAACTCATCACTCTTCGCAAGCAAAATGTCAGTTAGTACAAACCAGTCATACTGAACGAATTGAATTGTTCTTGATTGCCAGGCTGAAATTGTGAAAAGAATATAATTTTGTGTGTTGAAAATGTGTAAATACAATAAAATGATATGTCGTTGATCAAACCGTATAAAATTCATCGTTTCGCCAAACGGGAGAACTAGCCAATACCAAGAAAGGCACCAGCAGTATTTTCGATGCTAATAACATTTCTGGAAGAAGTTATGTGCGTCATATCAACCCGCAGTCTGGCTCCAAAATTGCTTCAACCCCATACAGACACTAAATACAGTCTATTCTCTACTAAGCGGCCCCTCTCGGGGAAGAGATAACTGGCCGCTTAATAGAGGAGGCCGTACAGAATCACCCGAAAACAACGTTAAAGTTGAGCGTGGTGCAGTTTTCAGTTTATCAAATATAAGTACAAAGAAACGCAAGTGGAGGAAAAGTAGAACAATGATGGCTATAATGCGGTCCATAACGTTAGCAAACGCCAAAGAAACAATTACGTGTAAAGACGCGAAGTGTCTATCGAACCAACACTGGCTTGTGTGCTGTATAAACAAACTAAAACTCTTCTAAACTTTGTTTTGCGATTGTTTTGATTTAATACTGCTGAAAATGTGTTTTTATAGTATTCCACATTGTCATTCTTTTACCTTAATCTGGCTAAAAACGTCCAACTTCAAATCTTCCTGGCTGTTTAATAGAAGTATAAAACAAAACAAAATCACCTTTGGGACGACAAGAAGCTGGCCGCAGCCACGAAATAGAGGTGGCAGTGGAGTAGAGGTTTTTATTACAGAGTTTAGCTAACAATTTTCCTGTACTTTGGCCACTGGCCGCCAATTAAAGGCTGGCCGCTAAATAGGGGAACGCTTAATAGAGGCTCGACCGTATAAGAATTCGATCTTGGATTTTCCAAACCTTTATGGCTAATTCATTTCCTTGACGTAGCCGAG